ATATCTTTGTTACTCTAATGGATGGTAGCCTAGTCATTATGGAAGGTAGTCTGTTGTTGAGATTTTAAATACTCCAATGGATTGTAGCCTTGTCATTATGGAAGGTAGTCTATTGTCGAGTTTTTTTATACTACAAAGGTTTGTAGCCTTGTCATTATGGAAGGTTGTCTATTGTCGATATCTTTGTTACTCCAATGGATGGTAGCCTAATCATTATGGAAGGTAGTTTGTTGTCGAGATTTTTGTTATTCCAATGGATGGTAGCCTTGTCATTATGGAAGGTAGTCTGTTGTCGATATTTTTGGTATTCCAATGGATGGTAGCCTTGTCATTATGGAAGGTAGTCTGTTGTCGAGATTTTTATTACTCTAATGGATGGTAGCCTTGACATCATGGAAGGTAGTTTATTATCGAGATTTTTGTTACTACAATGGATTGTAGGCTTGTCGTTATGAAAGGTACTCTATTGTCGATATCTTTGTTACTCCAATGGATTGTAGCCTAGTCATTATGGAAGGTAGTCTATTGTCGATATCTTTGTTACTCCAATGGATGGTAGCCTAGTCATTATGGAAGGTAGTCTGTTGTCTAGATTTTTGTTATTCCAATGGATGGTAGGCTTGTCATTATGGAAGGTAGTCTGTTGTCGAGATTTTTGTTACTCCAATGGATGGTAGCTTTGTCATCAAGGAAGGTAGTCTATTGTAGATATTTTTGTTACTATAGTGGATGGTAGCCTTACATTATGGAAGGTAGTCTGTTGTCGTGATTTTTGATACTACAATGGATTCTTGCCTTGTCGTTATGGAAGGTAGTCTGTTGTCGATATCTTTGTTACTCCAATGTATGGTAGCCTAGTCATTATGGAAGGTAGTCTGTTGTGGAGATTTTTGTTAGTCTAAGGGATGGTAGCCTTGTCATTATGGAAGGTAGTGTGTTGTCGATATTTTTGTTATTCCAATGGATGGTAGCCTTGTCATTATGGAAGGTAGTTTATTGTCGAGATTTTTGTTACTCCAATGGATGGTAGCCTTGTCATTATGGAAGGTAGTCTATTGTCGAGATTTTTGTTACTATAGTGGATGGTAGCCTTGTCATTATGGAAGGTAGTCTGTTGTCGAGATTTTTGTTACTAGAATGGATTGTATCCTTGTCGTTATGGAAGGTAATCTGTTGTCGATATCTTTGTTACTCGAATGGATGGTATCCTAGTCATTATGGAAGGTAGTCTGTTGTCGATATTTTAGTTACTCCAATGGATGTTAGCCTTGTCATTATGGAAGGTAGCGTGTTGTCATGATTTTTGTTACTCTAAGGGATGGTAGTCTTGTCATTATGGAAGGTAGTATGTTGTTGATATCTTTGTTACTCCAATGGATGGTAGCCTTTTCATTATGGAAGGTAGTTTGTTGTCGAGATTTTTCTTACTCTAAGGGATGGTAGCCTTGTCATTATGGAACGTAGTCTATTTTCGAGATTTTTGTTATTCCAATGGATGACAGCCTTGTCATTATGAAGGTATTCTATTGTCGATATTTTTGTTACTATAATAGATTGTAGCCTTGTCATTATGGAAGGTAGTCTGTTGTTGAGATTTTAGTTACTCCAATGGATGGTAGCCTTGTCATTATGGAACGTAGTCTGTTGTCGATATTTTTTTTATTCCAATGGATGGTAGCCTTGTCATTATGGAAGGTAGTCATGTGTGGAGATTTTTGTTACTCCAATGGATGGTAGCCTTGTCATCATGGAAGGTAGTCTATTGTCGATATCTTTGTTACTCCAATCGATGGTAGCCTAGTCATTATGGAAGGTAGTGTGTTGTCAACATTTTTGTTATTCCAATGGATGGTAGGCTTGTCATTATTGAAGGTAATCTGTTGTTGATATTTTTGTTACTCCAATGGATGGTAGCCTTATCATCATGGAAGGTAGTCTATTGTCGAGATGTTTGGTACTACAATGGATGGTAGCCATGTCATTATGCAAGGTAGTCTGTTGTCGAGATTTTTGTTACTACAATGGATTGTAGCCTTGTCGTTATGGAAGGTAGTTTGTTGTTGATATCTTTGTTACTCCAATGGATGGTAGCCTAGTCATTATGGGAGGTAGTCTGTTGTGGAGATTTTTGTTAGTCTAAGGGATGGTAGCCTTGTCATTATGGAAGGTAGTGTGTTGTCGATATTTTTGTTATTCCAATGGATGGTAGCCTTGTCATTATGGAAGGTAGTCTGTTGTCGAGATTTTTGTTACTCCAATGTATGGTAGCCTTGTCATTATGGAAGGTAGTCTATTGTCGAGATTTTTGTTACTATAATGGATGGTAGCCTTGTCATTATAGAAGGTAGTCTATTGTCGAGATTTTTGTTACTACAATGTGTCATACCCCAATTTTTGACCTAAGATCCCATTTTTATTTTTTATTTTGAATTTTTGTACAAAAGTCAAGGTCACTAAATACAGTCGGTTTTAACCCTTCACCTTCGAGCATTGACTATGCAGAAATTGTCAAATATTTTGAACATTCTTAGCCTATGTATCACTAACTTCTAATCAAGCACGAAGTGTGTGTTTTTTATTTCTTTGATTTCATTTGCAGGAAACAGATCTGAATCAAGAGCATCAGGCGTCATGCCTCGATTAGGGTTCAGAATCTCCAATCCAGAAGTACAGTTGATCGTTGATTCTTGAAGACTGATTCATCAGGGAATGATGTGTTTATTTCCACGCCTTGTTCGACAGGTGGTCTCAAGCTTCTCCAAAAATCCCCCAAAAGCACAATCAAGATTTCATCATCACTGGTTTACATGTGTATCAAGATGCTTTAGAATGCGAAGAAAGATCAAGTTTGCAAGTCGATTCAAAGCATTTCGGCCAAAAGTCAACTCCTGCAAGTTCAATTTCAAACGGTCATAAATTCTTCAATTTTCAACGTCTTGAGGCGATTCTTTTGCAAAGTATCACAAATAGCGTTGTTTATGAGATTACTTCAAAGATTAATGCGCAAGTCATGCCACAGACGTTTTCTCAAGAACGTTTGATTTTCCTGTTGGGATAATTCATGAAACTGGAGTTTTAGTCCAATGATTCTTTGATGATTGTGGACTACTTCAAGTCATTTTGCAATTGAACAGTAGCGATCATTGGATTAAGGTGGATTGTCGATTAAATTTCTTAAAGGCACGATTTACGCTATTGGTCTGTATTGTAAATTACTATGAGGTGAAGACGCGAATTAGGGTTGAGAATTCTTTGAATTCTTGTGGTTTGCAAGCTAACTTGGATTTGAGATTTGAATTAAGATTTGGATTCATTGTTGTGAAGTATTCTTTCAAGTAACCAATACCGTAAAGCCAAAATATTCGAATTTGTCAAATAACATTGGGGTTCTTATTTGCAAGAGAGATTCAAGAAGGTTTATGAATTTGATGTCTTGAGTAAGATGCATTCCAATTTCCCGAAGTTTATTCCAAGAGTGCAAGTTCATTAATGTGAATTGTTCAAAATATTAAGAATTATTCAAGACCTTTCTCAAGAATTCAACTTCAACCATCATTCACGCATTTCAAATTCAAAGACAAATTTCGACACAAATTTTAATTGGAATCAAATTGTGTGTCAATTCGGACTGGAGATTAAATTAAGAGAGCAAGATCATTTGGCGTAGAATTTATTCAAGAATTTCACTCAAGATTCATACTTTCATTCATGAGAATCCGAGAGATTACAAAATACTTCCATTATAAAATCATCACCATTTCATGTCTCATTATAAAACCATACACAAACACATGAATTCCTAAGTCCTAAAGTGCTAAAATTACATGAAATCTTTATGCTAAACCACCAAAATACTCCTGTTTCTATGCTACTATCTTGCTGCCAAATAATGCCAAAAAAACTGCTGCTGTATGCTGCTCCAAACCCTGCAAAAGAGTCCAAAAATTCTGCACAAATAGCTCCTATTGCTGCTGCCCATAAACCCCTATGCAGCCCTACATCATCTGCAAAATCAGTCTAAAAGAAAGCTAAAACTGTTGTTGTCCAAAACTATTTTGCACCTTACTGCCCTTCATCTTGTTGCTCTGCACCACAATACACCCAAAAAAAAAGAACTTACATGAAAGTGACCATAACAAATCTGCATCAAAAATCCAGAAAAAAAGATTACCATATTAGTCCAAACTCACTGGAATTTTCCCCCCAAAAGTCCCTCCAATTCCACCTCCCGTCTTCTATAAAAACAATGGGAAAGCAGTAGAAAAAAAGGAGAACAGACAAAAAAATATACCAGAAATAAAAACTCCTTTTCTCTCTTTCTAAATTCATGACATCTTTTTTTTTCTCCACATAGAACACCAAGAACCACAAAGAAGTCTCACTTTTCCTTATTGAAGTGTCGCGATGGAAGAAATCAATTACATACCAATGAATGTGTTAGACACCGACAAATGGCTATCTGAATTAGAAATGGATGAATATAATTTATTTCCATAAGAATGCAACCTGGATTTCCTTGATGCTGATGAGAAACAAGAGTTTCTTCCACATGAAATAGCTACTGTCTTTCAAGAAAAAAACCAACATCAACATTTGGCTTCAGAGTGCACGTCCACAACTCTCACTAACTTACTCACTGATGAAACCTGTTTTGAGTCATTGAACTTTGGTTTTGGGAGACCAATCAATAATTACAATGAAAACACCACAGCTGAAACCATATCACTGAATCTGTCTCCATCATCTTCGATCTCATCTTTTCAGTCTAAGATTCTTTCTTTTGAAAACCTCTCAAATTCACCTGCTGCCAACACCCCTTAATTTCTGAACTTGACCATGCTGAAAATTTAAAACACAATGAAACAGTGTCAGTATCTCCACTCCAGATTGAAAACACTCATGTCTTCACTCAAACTCCAAAAGGGACATCTAAAATCAATACTTGGAAACAAAAAACCTCACAACCAAAGAGATCTCGAGCTAACAAAGAGGATCATATCATGGCTGAGAGAAAGCAGAGAGGGATACTCAGCCATAGTTTCATTTCTTTTGCTTCTCTTGTTCCTAACCTTAAAAGGATGGACAAAGCTTATGTATTAGCTAGGTCTATTAAATACATGAAAGAGATTAAAGATCGTTTGGAAGTTTTAGAAGAACAAGACACAAATGCAGAAGACGTAATTCGAGTTCAGAAGGAAAGTCAGAGAAAGACCAAGAACATAGTCAAGGACAATTCAACATACCAGGTTTATGACTCCATTTTACTTATTTCGACGTTATATTTGCTTCAGCTTCACTATAATCTATCACCTTTTGAAATCGGGGGGAATGGTTATTAAGGGTTTCAATTGTTTTCCGCTGCAAAAAACGTGTTACTGTTGGTTTTGAAAGAGAAAAAAATACAATAAAAGTGGAAAATATGTTTCTTACCTCCAAAAGCTTCAATGTATTATATGATTCTCACCACACCCATCTCCCTCAACCTTCTCCATTCCCAAACCAGAACAACAACAACCCATTCCACCGGCAACATCATATCCCTTCATCCACCAATCGCCCTTTATCTTCTCCTCCCTGCTATCACGCCGCATCATCGTATCCACCAACAGTAACCATCACTTTCATCTTCGACCCAAACTACCCTGTTCCGCTAGCTACCCTTCATGCAAACCTCCTCTGTTCAATTCTGTATCACCATTGTTCATCTCCAACCCAATTCCTCACACTCACACCTTCACATTCCTTTCCTTGAGGACCCCACCTTACCTCATCTCTCTGCCTCTTCTCCACACCCCTTACCGGAGACCAAGACACGCCACGGTGGTCACACGCGCCGGCGTAAACTCCAGTAGCTATGCTTTCGCGATTGCGCTTCCTCTTTCTCTCCTCGCTGTTACCATCTTCACTGCTCTCCGAATTGGTTAGAAGCTCGACCAAGATTTCTACGAAGAGATGGCAGCGAATGAAGTTATCATGGAAGTTGACGAAGAGGAAGAAGATGACAACGATGATGAAGCGGAAAATTATTTACAAGAAGAACCTGTCCTTCCACGTGGCCGCGACAGACCAAAAAGAGAAGCTTAAATGTGATCTTTAGTAGACTTGCAAATGAGTATGGAGGGATAAGGAGCTCGGTCCATGCTTTTTTTTTGTTGTTTACTAATTAAACTATCTTCTTTAAATTGGGCCATTGCCAATCTCCTAGCCCAACTTTTTTTATTTTATTTTATTTTATCTGTTCTCCTTAACTTGGGCTTGCCATTCCCTCTTTGAGCCCATACGAAATACAAGACGATTCCTTCCCTATACTATCCTACACCATAGTTCTATTCAATTTAGATTTGACTTTTTTTTCTAAGCTATATTTCATTTATTTAGGTTAGTTAGTTTTAATTAATCATATAATTTTGTTCTTAAATTAGACATTTTGTTTTATTTAGTTTAGTTTGGAGTCAACTTAATATTTTTCTTTAGAATTAGTTGGGAAGTCTAGATTTTTTTATTAAGCTTAGTTAGTAAATTTAGAATTTTATTTAGCTTAGTTAGTAATTTTATAATTTTCATTTAGTTTAGTCAGCCAATTTTAGAATTTTAATTTAGATTTAACTTAATAACCTTAGAATTTTTGACTGTAGCTTAGAGTTAATTTTATATCTCTTTATGTTTAATTATTCCTCCATCATTTCGTATTTATTATTATTCGCTTTGTCATCAATTTTGGTTTATATTTATTCCTTTATGATTTTCCTTTTATATGTTAATAAGTTTTGTGGTATTTTCAGTTTAGTTCACTTTAATTTTTATGGCTTACTTTATTGTTTGTTCGTTTAAACTCCAAGGGAACGATTTAAATTTGTTGACTTCACGTCATCAAATACATCTCATTCGATCGTGCGAATAACCTTTTTCATTTTTTGTTTGTTTACTATTTTGCTAAACTCAAGATGATTTTCCCAAAAGACTCCATTTTCAAACTCACACCTTTTAAGTCAAAACTTCGACACTAGGTCGTCGTATCTTCAAAAATCTCGTCCATACCCATCTTTTAGCCAAACGAATCATTTTAATCAAACAAACAATTTTAAACCAAAAAAACAGATATTTCAAAAGGTTCCTGCGGAGTACCGCAGATGCATTGGGTGCTAATACCTTCCCATTGCATAACCAACCCCCGAACTCTAGATCTCTTTTCAAAAATGCATTGTATTTTCGTTACTTTTAAGTATTATTTTACATTGCATATTTAAGGGTTTTATTTCGCTCTGTTCCCTTTTCCCTTGGAAATAATAAAGCGCGGTGACGACTCTTTCTTTTGCGAGTCAAGTTAATTAATAGCTTGATCTCCGATTTTCACCGCTACACAATAGATTGTTGCCTTGTTGTTATGGAAGGTAGTCTGTTGTCGATATCTTTGTTACTCCAATGGATTGTATCCTAGTCATTATGGAAGGTAGTCTGTTGTCGAGATTTTAGTTACTCCAATGGATGGTAGCCTTGTCATTATGGAAGGTAGTCTATTGTCGAGATTTTTGTTACTACAATTGATTATAGCCTTTTCGTTATGGAAGGTAGTCTATTGTCGATATCTTTGTTACTCCAATCAATGGTAGCCTATTCATTATGGAAGGTAGTGTGTTGTCAAGATTTTTGTTATTCCAATGGATGGTAGGCTTGTCATTATGGAAGGTAGTCTGTTGTTGTGATTTTTGTTATTCTAATGGATGGTAGCCTTGTCAATATGGAAGGTAGTCTGTTGTCGATATTTTTGTTATTCCAATGGATGGTAGCCTTGTCATTATGGAAGGTAGTCATGTGTGGAGATTTTTGTTACTCCAATGGATGGTAGCCTTGTCATCATGGAAGGTAGTCTATTGTCGATATCTTTGTTACTCCAATCGATGGTAGCCTAGTCATTATGGAAGGTAGTGTGTTGTCAAGATTTTTGTTATTCCAATGGATGGTAGGCTTGTCATTATGGAAGGTAGTCTGTTGTTGATATTTTTGTTACTCCAATGGATGGTAGCCTTGTCATCATGGAAGGTAGTCTATTGTCGAGATGTTTGTTACTAAAATGGATGGTAGCCATGTCATTATGCAAGGTAGTCTGTTGTCGAGATTTTTGTTACTACAATGGATTGTAGCCTTGTCGTTATAGAAGGTAGTCTATTGTTGATATCTTTGTTACTCCAATGGATGGTAGCCTAGTCATTATGGGAGGTAGTATTTTATGGAGATTTTTGTTAGTCTAAGGGATGGTAGCCTTGTCATTATGGAAGGTAGTGTGTTGTCGATATTTTTGTTATTCCAATGGATGGTAGCCTTGTCATTATGGAAGGTAGTCTGTTGTCGAGATTTTTGTTACTCCAATGTATGGTAGCCTTGTCATTATGGAAGGTAGTCTATTGTCGAGATTTTTGTTACTATAATGGATGGTAGCCTTGTCATTATAGAAGGTAGTCTATTGTCGAGATTTTTGTTACTACAATGGATTGTAGCTTTGTCGTTATCGAAGGTAGTCTGTTGTCGATATCTTTGTTACTCCAATGGATTGTATCCTAGTCATTATGGAAGGTAGTTTGTTGTCGAGATTTTAGTTACTCCAATGGATGGTAGCCTTGTCATTATGGAAGGTAGTCTATTGTCGAGATTTTTGTTACTACAATTGATTGTAGCCTTTTCGTTATGGAAGGTAGTCTATTGTCGATATCTTTGTTACTCCAATCGATGGTAGCCTATTCATTATGGAAGGTAGTGTGTTGTCAAGATTTTTGTTATTCCAATGGATGGTAGGCTTGTCATTATGGAAGGTAGTCTGTTGTTGTGATTTTTGTTATTCCAATGGATGGTAGCCTTGTCATTATGGAAGGTAGTCTGTTGTCTAGTTTTTTGTTACTCCAATGGATGGTCGCCTTGTCATCATGGAAGGTAGTCTATTGTCGAGATGTTTGTTACTACAATGGATGGTAGCCGTGTCATTATGCAACATAGTCTGTTGTCTAGATTTTTGTTACTACAATGGATTGTAGCCATGTCGTTATGGAAGCTAGTCTGTTGTTGATATCTTTGTTACTCCAATGGATGGTATCCTAGTCATTATGGAAGGTAGTCTGTTGTGGAGATTTTTGTTAGTCTAAGGGATGGTAGCCTTGTCATTATGGAAGGTAGTGTGTTGTCGATATTTTTGTTATTCCAATGGATGGTAGCCTTGTCATTATAGAAGGTAGTCTGTTGTCGAGATTTTTGTTACTCCAATGGATGGTAGCCTTTTCATTATGGAAGGTAGTCTATTGTCGAGATTTTTGTTACTATAATGGATGGTAGCCTTGTCATTATAGAAGGTAGTCTGTTGTCGAGATTTTTGTTACTACAATGGATTGTAGCCTTGTCGTTATGGAAGGTAGTCTGTTGTCGATATCTTTGTTACTCCAATGGATTGTATCCTAGTCATTATGGAAGGTAGTCTGTTGTCGAGATTTTAGTTACTCCAATGGATGGTAGCCTTGTCATTATGGAAGGTAGTCTATTGTCGAGATTTTTGTTACTACAATTGATTGTAGCCTTTTCGTTAAGGAAGGTAGTCTATTGTCGATATCTTTGTTATTCTAATCGATGGTAGCCTATTCATTATGGAAGGTAGTGTGTTGTCAAGATTTTTGTTATTCCAATGGATGGAAGGCTTGTCATTATGGAAGGTAGTCTGTTGTTGTTATTTTTGTTATTCCAATGGATGGTAGCCTTGTCATTATGGAAGGTAGTATGTTGTCTAGTTTTTTGTTACTCCAATGGATGGTCGCCTTGTCATCATGGAAGGTAGTCTATTGTCGAGATGTTTGTTACTACAATGGATGGTAGCCGTGTCATTATGCAACGTAGTCTGTTGTCGAGATTTTTGCTACTTCAATGGATTGTAGCCTTGTCGTTATGGAAGGTAGTCTGTTGTTGATATCTATGTTACTCCAATGGATGGTAGCCTAGTCATTATGGAAGGTAGTCTGTTGTGGAGATTTTTGTTAGTCTAAGGGATGGTAGCCTTGTCATTATGGAAGGTAGTGTGTTGTCGATATTTTTGTTATTCCACTGGATGGTAGCCTTGTCATTATGGAAGGTAGTCTGTTGTCGAGATTTTTGTTACTCCAATGGATGGTAGCCTTGTCATTATGGAAGGTAGTCTGTTGTCGATATTTTTGGTATTCCAATGGATGGTAGCCTTGTCATTATGGAAGGTAGTCATGTGTGGAGATTTTTGTTACTCCAATGGATGGTAGCCTTGTCATCATGGAAGGTAGTCTATTGTCGATATCTTTGTTACTCCAATCGATGGTAGCCTAGTCATTATGGA